CTGCTGTCACTGTAGGCTAGCCTTCTGTGTTAATTTTTTTTTTCGTTTTTTTTTGTTTACTCTGTGATTTGGGGTCAGCTCAGACCATTTTTTGGGTTCATATAGAGATGGTATCTGAAGTGTCTCCGCAAGCAACACCAGTTGATGGAAACTTGTTTCTAATTTTGTTGTCTGATAAAGACTGGGAACAATAGAGTTCCAGATTCTGTTATTTTTACAGCAGGCTCCTGATGAGAGTCGAAGAACATGTCCTGTCAAACTTCAAAGGATTGCCGTCGGCCATATTGGCTAAAGCATGACCGTCAAGGATCGTGAAAACCCGCTAAATGATTTGTGTTTATTGTGTCAGCTCTGAATAATGTCATTTGTTTAAGAAAAAAATAATTAGATTCTATATTGTTTGCCCAACTACAGTTGTTGTGGTTTTGGTCTATTTCATAATCTTACACTTGGCGTGGAATGTGACCTGAGACCTGCTCAGCCCAAAGGGGTCACGTGATTTAACTAAAAGATTTGTGACCTCGATTCAGGTTAGACTATCTCGACAAGAAATGCCCCTCGACTTTGTCTCGGACAATAGAATGGGCCAACCTGAGGACAAAAAAGCACTGCCTGTTGCACTTACTTTGATTTGGGCAATTTGCACGCATTAATCCATTTGGGTCGAGTAAAGAGTGTTGGTTGTAGTTGCCTTGCCTTGTTATTGTTGGGACTGGGTTTTTTTTGGTTTTTATTTTGTCAAAAATTTAGATTATATTAATTATTTTAATTATTGATATATTGAGTAGATATCTAGATCTAGATCTAGATTTAGACTCTAGATCTAGAATCTAGGCCTATAAAACAAAAAAAAGTTCTGGTTCATCTCTTGCTTTGAAAGAGTGTGGATCCCTAAAAATCAAAGTCGAATAAAACTTGGGTAAATTTTTACTTTCACTCCCGCACACAGAATCAGATGCACTGCTACTGGGGTCAAACTGCACACTGCAGTATTTTTTGCCAACACACACAGCCTATGCCTCTAAAAAATACTGTCACGAACTAATTTACACCCCCATCCCCACCCCCCGGGGCGGTGCCACTGACTGTAGTGTCTTTAGGCCATTCCCAAAGGGGGGACATTTCTCGTTCATGCACAGTAGAATTGTAAATGGGTCACGCTCATGAAACTGCCTGATCTACAACAGGGAACTGCTGCTTTTTCTTTCCTAATCCTGACTATGGTCATTTGCCTCTACCTCTTTTGTATGTTTGTCACACTCTTGTGAACTGCTATTTCCGGGGTGCCTTGATAGTCGAAGCAGACCTTGTGCTGTTGAAGGTAGAGAGGTGAGCACAGTAAGTCTGATTCCCTGTAAAGACTTTTCTGTTGACACCCACCCCTTGGCGCTCATATGTCATGACCTTTTATGCAGTTGCGAGTGCCGTAAAACCCTCTACTACAAAAAAAACCCCAAAAAGACGAACCTATTATTTTCAAGAAAATTTCAAACCTAATTGCAAAACATCAAATTTTCTGGAACAATACAAAACAGGAGGGTGCACCACCCACCCCTCCCCCCAGATTCTTTTTTGAGTTCACTTCAGAGGGGCATGCCCCACTGAAACCCTCGGATTGGTCTAAAGCCTGGAAATGACTACGTAATTAGGCTAGGCTTCTATTAGGGCCTATTGCGATAAAGTTCGATTATAAAACATCAAATATTTCGAAAACTATTAATTTGCAGAAATAAGTCGTTCGTGATCAGCACATCATCAATGTGTAAACTATTAGAAAACGGACATCTAGTTTACTCTAGTAGCTAAGTGTGAGACTGGAGGGAAAGTAAAAGAATGCCAAACCTTGAGCCTGATCTGTCTTTCACTGTCTGGCTCTCTGCAGTTGTGGGTACCAAGAACCAATCTGAAAGAGCACAACGTTTTTCTTTCCTTTCCCCTGGGTTTTCATTTGGGGGGAATGAACGGCTGATGAATAGCCCTTACAGATGCAACAAAGGTGTTGCTGTCTGCCAGCAGTAGACAGTTACATTGTCAACGGGTCAGCAGGGTAGCGACACATTGAGTCATTGAGTGTTGTTGAACAGGGTTTGGTAAATTTTCACTTTCACTCCTCTACATAGATGCATTGCCTTTGAGGGTGGAACGGATGTGCTGTCGACTCTTGTTGCAGATCAATATGTCTACTAAATTAAAACTCACAAGTCGATTTTCAAAAAAAATTCAAACTTAATTTTCAAATCGTTAAAAAAATTGGGGCATTAAAAAATTTTTTTACTTCAGGGGTACTTTGAAACCCCCTAGATTGGTCCACAGCAGGGGTGGCTGGTGGTTTGTGAAACTGACCGGCTATCATTGCTATTGATCTCCTCCCTCCCTCCCTCCTAGACACATACACAAACAGACACACATTTTATACCTCTATCTTTGCTTCCCTCCTCCGCTCCCCCCCTTTTTTTTCCACTAAACAACACAAACACACATAGAGCCCTTATGAACATGGTCCCCTTCTACTAAAAATTCTACTTAATGATAATGTTAATGAACTGATTCCTAGTAGTCTGAAGAGAACCAAGTTGATACCACACCACTGACACTGTCCCAAGCTGACCAAGTCTTTTTTGCTTTTGTAAAGTGTTTTACGGCGCTCGCAACTGCATAGGTCATATATGAGCGCGCGGGACACACCTAATATTTTCAGTTGGTAGGAAATTTTTAATTTGCCCGGGTGGCGGCCGAAGCCTACTCTTATCGATTTTAGACCACCAAGGGATCTTTAACGTGCGCAACTTGCACACAGGCCCTCCGAGATTGACCAAGTCTAGACCAGAATCCAAAACAGTAGGCCTACAATACACTTAAAATGCATACGCATTGGTATAAAGCAAGCACACAACAATTTCCTAGATATCGCAATTCTCAGTGCACTGATTTTTTAAAGTGAGAAACTATGTCAAATACTAATTTTAAAACACAGTCAGGCTGGGATGAGAAAGGAGAAGGGGGAGGGGAGAGGCAGTGGGGGTCTAGACTGATTTTAAAAAAAATGAATCTAGTGCTGTTCACAAGTCAGCCCTTGACTCTCACTTCTGTTAAAATTCCTGTTATAATATAATATATAAAAAGACTGGTCAAACCACCAGCTCCCCGGATGTGCTTTTTGGGGCCAGGTAAGGCTGTAGCAAGAAGTAAGTGGGAAACAAGAACACCAAAGAGAACCACAGGTGTCTCATTATTCAATTACCGATAAAGATATTATGAAGAAGCCATGTTGACAGTACAAGTATGTGTTAACTGACAGTGACTAGAGACAGGTTTAATGATACATTTATCATAAATATTACTGATAAAATTATAAGATGTACTGTTCAAGACAGTCTTGTCCTTTGTAAGCAACAAAAGAACCAAATTAGCAAAAAAAAAGGTGATCTTCTTGCGGGCTTTTTCCAATCTGAGGGTAGTTGCTCAATTTGCCGGGCTGGGTGATGTCACTGCTGAGCACGCGATACAAGTAACAAAGGCGCACATCGTGACACCAGCTCTTACAGCCAACGAGATAAACTGAGATTTAGGAACGAGTTTCTGTGATGCAACAACACATCAGTGAGCCCTTAATTGTCTCTTTGAGCATATTTTTGGAGGGAAAGTGCTATGAATGCTGGTAAAAATATTGATTTGGATTTACATGAAATAAACTGAAAATAACAGCTATTATCAGCCGCCAATCTCTTGTCCACTTCAGCTGACTAAAAGTGACAGGCTCCGCCGGTCTTGCCCAGTTAACGAACCGCGCCTGGTCCACAACATGGAAATTGCTCTATACAGTTAGGCTAAGTGTAATACAGTTCGAATAAAAACCATAAAATTCTTTAGCCTATAAACTATTATGCGACAGGTTATAAAAATGAACAATTTTTCAAGATGCAGGTAGCCAACATTATTAATTTAAAAAATACACTTAAAAATACACCTCTAAAATACAAACGTACATTCAGACGCATACACATGCCCACTTTCACTCTTTTTCCACTTTAAAAAAAAAATCAAGATTTTGTAAATTTAAATCGGATTAAAAATTTTTTTTTTATTTTAAAAAAAATGTCGACACAGTTTGGGATTTTTGGTTGCTAAAAGTATGTTCTTTTAGTGCAAAATGCATTGTCTTTTTTTAAACTAATGAATAATTTAAGCAACCGGAAAAGAAAGCCTTAATCTGCTATATAATATATATATATATATCGGTGAATTATGGCTACAGAGAAAAAATGAAGAAAATGTCAGTCTAAAAGGAGGGGGGGGGGGGGTAATTATGCATAGATAAACTTGCATTTTATTACTGTGTGTGTGTGTGTGTGTGCGCGCGCTTGTGTTTGTCTAAAAAGAAAAAGAAAATGTTAATTTCAATATTGAAAAAAAAAGTAAATTGAATACTGTATTATTTTACAGTGACAAGGGGGAAAGCAGACTTTTAAGCATGATTATATTAGTCTACTAAACTTTATATCTGTTTAATAAAACCAAGGAAAGGAATTCTGAATGTTCAAGTATTTAAAAACTGAATACATTTTTAAAAAAGTGATTTAAATCACTGATTTTTATTTTAAAAATCAAGTTGATTAAAATATTTAAAAAATCAACTGTTTTAAATCAACCCAGTTCTGATTTCAATTATGGAAAAAAAAGTAAATTGAATACTGTATTATTTTACAGTGAAAAGAGGGAAAGCAGACTTTTAAACATGATTATATTAGTCAACCTAACCTTATATCTGTTTTATGAAACCAAGGAAAGGAGAATTCTGAATGTTGAAATATGTAAAAACTGAATAAAAATACATTTTAAAAAAAAGTGATTTAAATCACTGATTTTTATTTAAAAAATCAATTTGATTGAAGAAAAAGAATCAACTGATTTAAATCAACCCAACCCTGCCTTCATCTACTCTCTGAGAGTTGCTATCTCTGCCTGTTTCTCACTCTCCATCCTCCCCCCTCTCTGTCTCCAATAAAAGATGCAGTAAGATGGTTCTACCCAAGTAATGATAATGAGTAGGCTTTGTCAGTGCATCTTTTGTAATATAAACCACTTCAGTCCAACTGTAAGTGACTCATATTGTGTCAGCTTGCGTGAAGTACATATTTCATAATTTCATTGTCTTTCGTTTTAAAAGATGCACCAACTCAAAACTGCAGTTTAATGTTATGATCAAGGCTTGGCTTTTCATGATTCTTGATAGGAATAAACCAACTGAACTGTTGGGGGGGGGTTTTTGTCCCTGTTTAAAATGTACCCAAATGGACTTAAACGCAATGGTTGTGACACTGACAATATGATGAGTGGGATTTTCAAGGGAAAGAGGACAATTGAATGTGTTGTGGGGAAGAAAAAAAACACGTAAACGTAAACTTCGTGATTCAAGAGGTCTGGCCCTTGAAAATCCTTTTAACAGTTCTTGTGAGAACAGTTCAAAGTTCTCCCCCATGTCCAGACTGGAGTACTTACCACTTACATTCTGGTTGTTTTTTGTTTTTTGCACTTCCATAAAGTGGGTTGTTTTTGAGTAAGGATGACTCCTCTTAATTTTCCCTTATAAGAGGGTCTCCTGTCTGTCATTGTAAGTGACTTCCTGTCTTCTGTAAGAGTTTTGTCTCTGTCATGAGTCATTGTAAGTGACTTTTCCTGCTGATGATGTGACACCCTTGAATCAAGAGCATCAAAAGTTTTGAGTGGGAATTGAGTCCAAATAATGAATAGACTCTTGAAAGGCAAGTGGTTGAAGGGCGCCACTATGAAGTTCTTTCCTTTTGCTGTTATCTTCAGTCCATCTATATTCCTTTTCGCTAGCACTAAGTTTCCATTATTGTGTTGATGTTCAAAACAGGAAAGGCACTTTGATTTTGAGACAAAGTGGGTTCAAAGTCAAAGATTTTGCACAATGGACACTCCTTCGTCACTGTTTGACTCACCTAATTAGCCTAAAATGTGTGGTTTTAATTGTCCGAAGTGGCGTCTGTCGGAGGCTACTACCAGACCTGCAATGATGAGATTTTGGATTCAGAGATTCGAGCCTGAGCTCAGCCCGAAATTATGTCCTTGGGAAAGGCATTTTACACACATGAACTATTTGGCTCTGTCTTTTCGGAGATGGACTTTAAATATTGGTGGTCCCACCTCTTAAATAAGCAAATAGTTTTAATAGAGGCATTATACCTCAAGACCACTTTCAAAATTTTAATTGCCTAATCCTCCAAAACTTATTATTTGTAACAAGAAGTTGTTGTGCTTTAATTTTCTTCAATGGAGGCGTTTTACGCCCCCATCAACACAATTTAGATAAATCTGGAGACAGTTTTGAGTCAACAAGTGTTCAAACTTGATACCCTCACGATTTTCAGTTTTTGACTAATTCCCATTTTTCCCGTGGACTCCTCGTATACATATTAATCTACCTTGAAAAGAAGTTGAAATATTTGCGATTGACGGTGACGGGGGGGTCACCTGGTGTCAGGGGGAAAATGGCTGCCAAAGCTTCATGACTTAAGGGCTTGCTTAAAATGCGCTTTGAAACTGCAAATTTATATTTTTTGTGCCTCTGATCAATGTTGATCAATGTTTTTCTGTAAAATCCACCCAGAAATGTATTTTTTAAATCAACGAAAAGGTGTTTAGGCCCCCCCCCCCCCTAAAAAATTAATACCGGCGGGAAAATGCTGGTTTCTTTGATTTCAGTGTTTTGACGAGCACCTGATTTCACCTTGATGCTCACATCTATGTTGTACATCAGAAAGAGTAGTGCCAAGATAGTGAATAGCCTTGAAAACTCCCCAATCTAATCTGTTTTGGGGATTTGGTCTGTTGGGGATATGAATCCGGGTTATTCCTTTATGGTTGTAGGGCCAGTATGTACCATACCAACTAAGCTCTCTTG